GAGGTATGCTACTATACTCTGCAGAATATTTGAGCCCCGCTTTTTGTCGAATGAAAATGATGAATTTAGTGAAAATGATGAATTATCAACCCTTTGAGGTTGACCACACCAGGAAACAGAAACCTCCTGAACTTCTGCAACTCGGTTTTACAGGCAGTCCTCCACTTATGACCACAATTGGGTCCAAAACTCTCTTGCTAAGTGAGACATTTGTTAAATGATTTTTCCCCATTTTATGACCTTTCTTGCCACAGTTGTTATCACTGAATTACTGAGGTTGTTAAGTAAGTAACACGGTTGTTAAGCAAATTTGGTTTCCCCCTTGCTTGTCAGAAGGTTGCAAAAGGCGATCACGTGACCTCAGGACACTGAAACCGTCATAAATATGAGTCAGTTTCCAACTCTCTGGATTTTGATCGCGTGAGCCTGGGGATGCTGCAATGGTCGTAAGTGTAACAAATGGTCATAAGTCGCTGTTTTCAATGAGGAGGTAACTTTGAACAGTCACTAAACGAACTGTTGTAAGTCGAGGACTACTTGTATTTATGCAGACACTAACAGCAGAATCTTGAAAATAATAGCAGAGTTTCTCTTGCTCTTATTTTATTCCAGGGAGAACCGATCTTGTCTTTTTTTTTGTACTTTCCTCTTTTTCTGGGTGAAGATTGTGTTTTATTAATATTTTCCCCGTAACTTATTTTAGGGCAGCCATCTCTCTACAGGTAGTCCTCAACTTACAACTGGTCACTAAGCAGCCATATGAAGTTCTGATGGACCTACCCAGGGTGTACTTATGATCCAGATTTAAATTTCTCAGTCATGTGACCACACTTCAGGTGCTTATGGCCATTTGCGGCATCCCACAGTCACATAACTGTGTTTTATGATGGTCTTGCCAAAAACCTGCATTTACTTCCAGTTTGGGGCAAAATCAAACCCACAGGGAATCTTTGGTTTGTTTCGTTGTGTCATTAGCTTAATAACTGCTGCAAAAAGGCTCATAAAATTAAGTTAGTCGTGTGATCAAATGTCATGAGTTACAACCCTGGTAGGCAGGCTCCATTATGGTCATAACTCAAAAACTATCTGTACTCCACTATAGTCTATGGAGATTCTCAATCATCCGGGTCATGGTTGTCCCAAAGGCGCTTTTCCAAAAGGCAACTGAAGAAGCTTCTTGGATGAGAAGCTAAATGTTTTCAAAGAGGAAATCAAGAAAGCCCAGTTGTCCTTTGCAAACAAACAAACAAACCTGCCTTTTACAGGAATGCACCCTAGACGTGTTCAGAGCAGTAATTTATGATCATATCCAGAACATTCATGCTTGTTCAAATTAAGCTACATCTGGTCCTTAACTGCAAGATGCGTTGGTGAGACTCCCATCCAGTTCCATGCTGAGTGACACTTAATGCAGTTACTGCTTTCTCTGACTTACTGTCTAGGCCTTCCCCACAATTAGACCCCCAAAAGAGCCCCCCAGTAACATTTGGCTGTTCATCTTCTCAGCAGCCCATTTTCCATGGGTGCCTTTTCAGCCTCCCAAGCCAAGGCACGGAATCACTTTCAGGTCTGAGTCTTCTCCTGTCTTGGCCGATGCCTTGCTGGCCATGGGCTGTGAATCCTCTACCTCCCTGTAGGGCATCCACACAACTATCCTTTTCCCAGGGATAATTTGCAGGTGAAGGAGGAAACTGCAGGGGGACCAGACAGATGTGCTGAAATGTCAGACTGAGTAACATGAGAGGTCAAGATGAACACAAGGGACTTCATCTTAAATCATCCCAACTGATACCTCTATAAACTCTCCATCTAAGACACCAGGACCAACAGCTGACTTTGAGGTGCAGAGTATCCTTGGGGGTGGGATGGGTGCTAGAGCAGAGAATCAGACCTCCTCCTTCCCAGATTGTCTTGCTGGAGCTGTGTTAGGTATAACATTGATACCAAATATGGTTTGGGTGAATAAATAT